TTTGTGCAAGGGCTATGGCTGGTTAAATAATGTCATCGGAGTGTAACATAAGAACATTTCATCATCAGTTTTTCACAGGAATTTCACTCAACTGATTTGTAAAATTTATTTAAGCACTGCAGGGGCTGGAGCCAAGATGAAACTATCTGCTCGCTTGCTCCTTTCTGCTGGTGCTGAGGAATTCCATGTTTGCCAGCTTCACAAAGGCCATTTGCTCACTGGAAAAGATTGGGCAACCCGCAGCCCACCATCACTAGCTGCATAGCTGTGATTTGGCAGATCCCTTTGGTGTTTTTCCATTGGCTGGTGCATGCGTAACTGTGATCCATACTGAAGAATACAGCTGTGGGGTGATGGAAATTGAAAGCAGGCTATTCATTTACCTGCTCACAGCAGGAGTGTCTTTACTGGTGATTCTACAAGCTCTGAATGGTCAACAGGTTCCCCCCAGTGAGTAAATGAGGTGGTGAATGACCATGAACATACAATACGGTCAAACCCTGATTTAGTTTCATCAGTATTTGTCCTGGCACATTTTGTGGCACTAAGCAAGGGTGGCACTAAATTGGGTATTGCAGCAGTAGAATATTCATTACATTTTACAAATATGAAAACATGCTTTTTGCAGAATTTCTGGACAAATTATGTGAAGTAAAAGAGTGAAACTGCTTTTTGCAGATATGCTGTGTCAACCTTCTAATGAATGCGCACAATTCCAAGATCAGGTGGAGTGATTTAAATTTTTTAAAGAGACATCTCAGGTATTGAGATGCTCTTTATACGTAGGATAGTCAAATAAAACCATCCAGTTTATATGTGAATATTTAGAAAAATAATCTTATAAATTATCTTGAGCATCATAGCCATGTGATTCTCAGTGAAAACCTGATAATATCATTGGGAATATGCCTCAATTTATCTGATTTTGGCCTATTTTTCATTCAGAAACCGGGACATTTTTGTGGCACTATTTGAGTTAGGCACCAAATTGAGGCTTCCCTCAAGAACACAAACGACAAAAATTTCTGGAACTATATGTACAGGTGGCACTAAATTGGGGGCACTAAAGTGAAATTTGACTGTATTTGATTCAAATGATTCAATCTTATTGTTGCATCCCACATGCAGCAATGCTCCAGCATCTGGCCACAAACTGGCGCATAAAACTTGTTACATATCAAGGGCAGTGAGCCTGGCCAAAATCACGTTTTGGCAAGACTCACTGAGCCTCACCAAAGAGCAAGATGCAATCACAACTTCTTTTATTTTTCCTAAATCAGCCAATCCTGAGCCAGGAGGAAATCACCTGAATTCTTTCTGACCCAGTCTGAAAACTGGGTATAAAACCATCATTCCTTTCAGAGGAGAAGTGTGTGGGAATCTAATGTCACAGGGCCTTGAACCTTGAAATTATCTCATTAATTATTCTGAACCAATCAAGCAATCTTGCGATTGATTCTGCCATTCCAAACAAGCATTTCATGAACAGTAAAATGATGATCTGGCAATGAGAATGAACTCCTCTGAGAAAACATTAGAGTTCTTCAAAACTTGCATCATGATGGCTGCACAATTCCATTCCTTTACCTGGTATCCAATGGACCAATGACACTCATTTTGAAAAATGCTTATGAAACAAAAACAGGCACCACTTTAACCCCACTTGAACAATGGTGCCAATTAATATATTGTGTAATGTGATGGTCATTGCATCCTTATTGTTGCTACCAGACAACAAAGAAATGTAAACTACAGTTCAAAGTGTCTGGAAGGGAATTTGCTCTGTTGTGGGACATGTAAATATCACATAATTATGTCAACTTGTACTGTATGTATCAGGATTTGAGAAGATGTCTTCATCATCACAGCACATTTTTATAAAGATTATACACAAATTTTCCAAAAAAGATATCATTTCACAGTGAGAGTTGGACCTCTGGGACCCCAGCAACCCCCAGCGCCAGGTAGACCACAAGGACAATTACCTAACAACAACATGGTTCCTTCAGCACAACAGCACCAGCAGCCTGGAATTGTGAACCCAGGTGGCTATTCTGGAAAGATGGTATTACCTGGCACTCCTCCAGGCCATTCCCAGCAATTCCAGGTGCACAAAAATAATGTTCAATTATGTCCACAATAAAAAGGGATTTGAACATTGGAATAAAATCACAATTCAATCCCGAATTCTTTGAAAAGACGATATACACAATTACAGCGTATTCAGCAGGCTTCTTTGAGAACATTTTGAGATCCATGCGTTATTTCTTTTCTAAAAGAAAACATTCTTTCACTCTTATTGAATATAAAATTTAAACAAATTTTTCAGAAATGGAAATCAATTCACGGTGTAGCTGAATGGAATAATGAAGAAAGGTACAATTTATTTTCTTTTGAAAAGGAATTCTTTGTTTTTTTGCTTTGCATCAGGTGCCAGAGGCCTAAGCACCAATGCAGCAACCCTATCCTGGAACCAACATGGATCCCAATGCTAGGTTCGGACAGCAACACGGTGGAGATCAACAACAGGTCGGATATTTTACCAAAAATAATCAGCTGAATCCTGCCAACGACACGAGGCTTCAGCAGCAAGAAACACCTTCTCCACTTGCAGGAGGTTGAAAAATGGCTTTTATTTATTCTTTTTTTTATACAAGAAAGGAAATTTTCCTCATACTTTTATGATATCAGGTGCTGCTCAATCCCCAGGAAGAAATCCCGGTGTGATGAAACCAGCGCAGCGTCAGCCGGAAGTCCCCAAGAAGCACCTCCGGAAGTCTTTTTTGCCGGAATCGGACGTGTAACTGCAGTCCTTCACTTCCTCATGTAACAGATCATAAAAAATACCCTTTCTCTTACCTCAATCAAGGGTTGTGTAAAAAATTACAGTGCACAATATGTGGGTCTTTGAGTGTGTAAAAGGCAAAGACTGATTCAAAACAAAGAAACAAAAAAAAAGACCCGTTTTTGCCCCGCGCAGAGTTCATTAGAGCTGATTAAATTCTGCTCTCATATTTGCATGTAAGTAAACGAGTGCATTTTCTCATTTTCTTGACGTTGTGTGAGTGTGTTTAATGCAAACTTTACGCGTTGTACAGGAAATAAATTTGTTTCATCAAATGAACAATTCCGCGGAAACGGAATAAAAATTCGGAAACCCTGGAGCGCTCTAATCCAAAATGTGGATTAGAAACTTGGCCATCATGATATGCAATGTTCAGTAATAATATCACAATCATGACAGAAAATAATTTGGATTTCGAGCCAATTTGAGAAAATTTACAATAATTTGTATTCATGTCATGAATGAATTACATTAATTCTAGTATAGCTTTTGTATTTTTTTTTTGAAGATCATCGATCCGCATGCAGATTTTGAATATATTCGTTTATCATGTTCTTCAACCACGATTGATCAATAATTGATGGATGAATTCCTAGACACTCCATCACAACATTTGAAAATTGGAGAGAATTATTCCGAACCATTAATTTGACGAAGTTCCATTGCGGGTGTGCACGAAAATCGGAAGACTTCGCAATAATTGAAGCAATTAATGTGCCAAATCCATTAAATGAAACGGTGCGGCCCAATGGTGTTTCACACGAGAATCGCCGAATGCAGCATTATACGATAAGTTTCCATTGGTGTCATAAATATTCAAAATTTAAACCCTAGTGTTGTAAACACAGGATACATTAAAAAATAAAATAAAAGAGGACACCACGCAATTCCTTAAATGGGCGTAATAAACCCTTAAGAATTTCCCTACACATGTGTCAATCATTTTTCATTCAAGATCATTCACAGCGTCATAATTAAAACCAAATTTCGAATACAGTACATGTAAGATGGTCATCCATGAAGTTAAGAGATTCAAAATTGGGTTAATGAGCAGATATTTGAATTTTTCAAATAAAGAAAAAACCCTTTTATGGCCCAGTTATAATTATATTCTTGCGTCTCAGCAAAAGCACCGAAGCCGGCAAAAAAGTTTTAATTAGAATCTGACATTCAAAAGGTCGCATTTGATAAATTCACCAACAGAAAGGTCGATTCTCAGCGAAATTCTTCTCATAATAAACGTGTTCTCAAGAAAAGTTCCTAGGGATATGTTTTTATAGTAGAACATTCTGTGTAATACAAGCGTATATAGGAGCATTGAAAACTGAATATAATGTTGGAAAAAACTTCGGCATGCCGACAATTCGGCACCAGATTAATTTTAAACGACAGTCTTTC